GAATATCAGTGTTTCGCATAAAAATCTAAAGTTTGCCGATTAATTAACTCTGGCGTTTGGAAGCGGTACGTTAGGAATCCTTGGGTTTAATCCCTGGGTCACGTTCCGGCTGTCAAATCGCGCCTGGAAAGCCGAATCACGAACAGAAATCGAGAAAAACGAGAACGTCGGGGGAGCCGGATAGACTAGTAAGATGTGTAAGAGTCGAATGTATGTCGAATTGAGCCAATTCGGGGGTGTGTAAGTCGAACCGAGAGCCCCGGCGAGTGTCTGTTGGCCGAGAAAACTGCGAACGAGGAGGAAATCCGAATGAGAGTAACCGAGGAGTGAAATAAGGGTGGGACCCCGGCGACGGTGAAACACAGGCTACGCTGAACATAAAGGTAGAAGAGAGAGAGATAGGCGGATAGATAGACAGATAGATAGATAGACAGATAAGGTGGAGAAAGAGAGGAGATGAGAGATATCAGATATGCAAAGGAGATAACAGATACAAGGTACTTAGAATGGGAGATGGGAAGAGAAAAAGAAACGGGGAGAGAATTACAGAGTGCTAGACAGGCTTATTATCAACTATTATTAATGGACGAAACGTGGACCGATCTCATTTAAAATTATCAGCTCTGACAGAAACATATTTTAATTCAGCTCTGACAGAAACATATTTAAACGAACGTTAATTTAATAACAGCCGCATCGTACGACGAATTCATACAAGAACAGTCTGATAAAATTACCGAGGGAGTAAAGTAATTCTTATTCGCTGACGGTGTATACCATCCTACCGACCAACTTCCTGTTTTCTTCATCTACATACACAAGAGCCGTCTTATACAACAGTAGTTACGTATGCATACAGTGCACTAGATATACTAAACTTAGTATTGTAGATACTTTGGAAGCAGGGGATGGAGCCGTAAGTGGGTGTGCTTAGTACGTACTCGGTATAGAAAGCTATGAAAGACGCAGAGATGACCTGGATCGATTTGTTATCGTTAATGCAGCGTGTCCTCTATTATAATTTAAAAGACTTAGCTCAGATCTTTTTCAGACGAAAACGACCACGAAGGGCAGGTGTTGAAAGCTCGTTCGGTTGAATATCGGCCGATATGAATTCTGGCCAACAGTTATACGTACGTGGTTTAGCTGTCTCGCCGGTTAATTACTATGTATTATGTATGTATAACAGTCTGGTTCAAAGCGAATTCGGACACGACTTCAGAGAGTCGCGTAGCCGGAATACATGCATATAAATAAGCATTATGTACGGTAGACAGGCAATGTTTATTAATAGTACAACGATCGTCTGATTCCAAGATTAAACTTGGAACATTTCCTTTTAAACTCTTTATTATACAACTAATGGAATGTAATGGAGTGAAAATGTCCCGGTGATAATTAAATAAAATTGCAGCCTGGCCCTCTTTTAGTTTTGCGTTTTTCCACCGTTCAATTGCTGCTGCCGGCAAATGGCGCTTCATAATTGCTTTACACGGCACAAAACCCAAGTTGGCCGTCGGAATAGATGGAAAAAGTGAAAACAACATTTCGCATTTCTCCTATACTGCTCGTTCGAATTTTTCCAGTATAAACAAAATACCGGTGGTTATGGAAAAAATAAGATACCTACGTAGTTCTCGCGATTTATTTTTTATCCGTAGCCAGATTTGATTTCAAATTTTCGGCTCGACTCAGCTCTTCTCCAGACTCCCCCGAGGATCCGGTCTAGCCTACTTTCGGGGGGGTGGAAACCACTGGGGAAATTCGGCACCGTATATTCCTGAGCTGTGCGTAAACTTTTATAAAAAGGATCTACCGGACGTGTTTAAAAAAAGAATTAAGCTTTCGAGACATCCCGCGGAGTCCTATGTACACACACACACACACACACACTATACGATAAAACGCGCCGGTGGAATTCGATTATGACACGGCTCTATTATTATTATTATTATTATTAAATATCTGTTTTAATCAAACGCGTTGGATGCCGCTCCTTTTGAAAATACTGTTATTATTACTGTTATTGCTGTTATAGATTTTCAATTTTAATTCATCGCTTCCTGTATTCTTCGTCCTATTAAATTAAATGAAATTCCTTTGAGCGAAGAAAGGAAGGAAGAAAGGAACGCGGTTCATTAATCGAATTCCTCCGTGGAAAAATAAAGTCCTACACCAGACCTTAAATCTCCATCCGCTCACGTCCTGTATGAAATTTTCATAAAAATAATAACGAAATTAGGGATACATGGAAAAGTGGGACGTAAATTATTTTCACTATTCCCGAATTTTTCTCGTCTCCGTTATTCCATCCCGTTTTACTTTTCGTTTTTCATCCCACTTCACTTTTAGGTACGTTTCTCTACGTTTTAATATATTATTATTATTATTATTATTAAATATCTGTTTTAATCAAACGCGTTGGATGCCGCTCCTTTTGAAAATACTGTTATTATTACTGTTATTGCTGTTATAGATTTTCAATTTTAATTCATCGCTTCCTGTATTCTTCGTCCTATTAAATTAAATGAAATTCCTTTGAGCGAAGAAAGGAAGGAAGAAAGGAACGCGGTTCATTAATCGAATTCCTCCGTGGAAAAATAAAGTCCTACACCAGACCTTAAATCTCCATCCGCTCACGTCCTGTATGAAATTTTCATAAAAATAATAACGAAATTAGGGATACATGGAAAAGTGGGACGTAAATTATTTTCACTATTCCCGAATTTTTCTCGTCTCCGTTATTCCATCCCGTTTTACTTTTCGTTTTTCATCCCACTTCACTTTTGGGTACGTTTCTCTACGTTTTAATGCGAATTTATTCTTCTTCGCGAGCAGTTAATTACGCGACACTAATTTTTCTCTTCTAAAAGTTCCAACGAAATGGCCCAACCAAATGGTAAAATTCAACTTTCTATCCTCAAAACCCCCCACCCCCCTCCCCCCACGAAACTTTCCCTCAAAGGCTTTAAACTTATTTCTCCACTTTGGTCCTTCCCATAAATTTTCTTTAAATTTTCTTCAAATTTCCTGTTTCACCAAGACAGATAGAGAGCTCGAGGAGGGATAACTTTCTTCTCTCCCTCCCTCCCTCGTGGCGAATCTTATGACTGCCGAGAAAAATTTCAAGGATTTTACCCAATTAATCGACTAAGTACCCGGTGCCCTCCGGCGAGTTTTATTTTCAATCGAAATTTTGCTTTCAATTAATGAATTCCGCGCGTCTAATTAATTGCGAAATTTAATAAGTTTAATAGATGAAAATCACGGGTCTCTCCGATGTTTTAAAAGAAAGATTGATCAGATATCACCGGATGTTAATTGAAACGTTATAGGGTATCCAGAGTAACTCCGGTTAAAGTAAGGGATTAAAAGTAAAAAGTAAGAAAAAACAAGGGCGAAAGAAATGAGAGAGAGGGAGGGAGAGAGGTAGGAAGGGCTGAAAGGGGTGAAAGGGTGGAACGGGGGGAGGGAGGATCGGGTTGGATTGGTTTTTTACTAATTAAAATTTCAAACCTGACACCACCTGAATGCCTGTGACTTCTTTAATGAGACGCCGTCTGGGTTATTTCTTCCTCTCTCTTTCTCCGCCTCTCTCCCTCCCGTTCATTCTCTCTCGCGCACGTTCCTTGTCTCGCCATGTTGGTTTGAACCAAGGAATATAGAAAAATCGAAAGGATTTTTTCAATCCTCCAACCATTCTAGATACGTTTCGCTCGATCGTACGTGCAAGCAGATTTCATTTTCGACGCTGTGTCTCCTCGCGTTTGAAAAATCTTAGCCTCTGATTATGAACATGGCGCGCACAATGCTCGTACGAGTACGTAGTGGTAGGCCGTGTAGTATGAAAGGCCGTGTATGAATGGGTCGGTTACACAAAAGCAAAACGAGGCAAATGGAAAGCAGTAGCAGTGGGAGTCCGTGACTCATTGTCAAATGTACGCACCTTTTAACAAAGATGTACAGAAACGAAAAACAGAAAAAACAAAAAAGGAGAGCACCGTTGTGCTTAGGCGCTACGGTTCTCGTTTTCTTATTTCGGCTTAAAGTCTGCTGCACGGTTTGAAGAAAAAAAATTCTTGCAGCTCGAATAACGTCCACGGCATCCGCAAAGGGAGAAGACTCTCGATTTTCGCAGGCAGAGTCGCTCGCATTTTTGGAAGTCAAATTTCGTCGAGAGAGCGAGAGAGAGAGAGAGGGGGGTAAATGAAGTATATGTAAATAATGAGGAAGATGGAAATGAAGGAAAATAAAAACGAAAAAGAGGCGAGGTCGTACTAGTAATGGAGGGTGCAACGACCTTTTAAGGGTCCACCCGAAAAATAATTCCTCCACTTTCTATTTCGTTTATTTTTACCTGAAAATCTCGCCCCCTCGGTTATCGGATAACTTACTACGTTTAATGCTCAGCTATGAACAATAATTTTTAACTTGGGAAACACTGCGATCCACGTTCCTCTAAATATACATGTATATTATTTACTTCAACGCGTTGATTTACTTCTCTGGATATTCTTACGCCGCTCCTCGTCTTCTCCGAGCCTCTACGACTCCGGTCATTCTTTCTTTTTAAGCTCTTTCTTCTCTCTCTCTTTCTTAAACTTTGTGAAAAGGCGCCTTTACTTGAATGGCCAAGGCAATGCCCGAATCGAAAGACCGGAGAGAGAGAGAGAGAGAGAGAGAGAGACGAGGAGAGAGGCGGAGGAGTCAACAGAAGTGGAATTATGAAATATTTAACGCTTAGACTTCTTGGACTGCTTCTACCAACATTCCTCTCCTTTTATCTTTTATACATACTTCACTCCTTTTTCTCTACCCCCGGGGGACTGCAACATTTTCTTTATACCTTTTTCCACTGCTTGCTTAATGCAAATTAAGCGTAAAACGTAACGCGTAAAACTCTCTCAAGATGAACGTATACACAGTCGTGAGGAGCGTATCGTAAATATTTGACGAATTATTCTCTCACAGTTCTGATGATTATTCTTTCTGTTTTTCAGGAGGGCGAAAGGGGATATTTAGAGGGTCTGGCGTCTAGGTACGCGGACCTCTTCAGAACACATTACGGCGACGTTTTAGAGCCTCTAGAAGAACTGAGACGTAGAGAGACCAGCGCTTCTCCCAGGATAGCAAATGCTCCTCAAATGACCACTAGCCATTCCCAGCCTATATACGTGCCGGGCAAATACTCGGTGAGTAATACGCGCAAACTATGTTGCAGATAGAAATATGCGTAAAATGAATGAACGAGAAGTATCGATAACCAGTTTTGATCGATCGTTACGTCGAAACGTGACGCGTTTCGGTTCGTCGTTCCATCTATTTTATAAATTAAAATGTATATCTGTCAGGCTCCATGACGGAGTTAATAATAATCAGTGACTAATCTCGTATGTCGTATAATAATAATTAATACACTCTGCCCGAAAGAGGTGCACGTTGTCCATGTGTCGACGCGTCCATCCTTCGGTTACGATTCTATCGTGCAAATAAAATCAGTGACCGACAACAATTCGACTGGCTAATCGAAACTGAAACCAATCGAATCGATTGATTTGAAATTGCGTGTATTGTAATAGGATAACAATCAATTGATCTGAAATTACGTGTACGGTAATAGGATATGCACCGCCGTTTATACTGGCCGTACTTTTCCGTTCTTTCACCAATCGAAATTGCATTTTCCCCTGCTTCAATCCGTAATGATGTTCGAGGATTAAACGCTCGCGATAAATGTAACGCAGAGGTATTGTTGTAAAATAATCGAGCGACGCAAAGAGATTTGCGAGATTTCACCGAGTGAATTTTGAACATTTCGACGGAAGATCCAGTCCAAGACTCGACAAACATTCAGACACGAAGTAGTTGGCATAAAAAATTAATGAAAAGAATTGGATCGTCCGTTGTGAAAGGTAAATTTTGCTCGCGCGTTTCGACAGAAGATCGGGTTAATTGCATTTTCAACTATCGCTTATGGCAAAGGGAACAATAACTGATTTAAAGGAGGATCAATGAAGGATTTTCCTTCCCTTTAACAGTTAATCCCGTTGAAATCAGTTCGAAGCCAAGTTCGAACTTCCCGAGGACTTTCAATTCCCCGTTATAGTCTTCGCAAACTATAGTCGTCCCGGGTAAATCCCTCTTTCAAAGAGAAAACAAGGCGAACAGCGAGAATACAAACAAACAGGATTGGAAATTGATTTACCAAGCCTTCGGAACGAGTAAAAATATGTTGCAAACACAGTTGAACTGTAGCGCGTAATTCATTACACACTATAGGAAGGCCTACGAACGTCTTCCACATTCCCCCGCGTTTAAATGCAGATAATTTTAATGGACGATTGTCTGTCTGGTATTTTTGCAGCCGTCGAGTTGTCTGAGCGATAAGGAAGAGGACGAGATTTACGGGTTCGGGTACGGTGTGTTCAGTAGACAAATGCTCCAGCAAAGACAGCAAAAACTGGCTTTGGCAGCGCAAAACACGGCTGCCATGACTGCCGGCCCGCATCAGCAACCGTATCAAAGGTGAGAGAGGACCACGTTCAAGTTACAATTCACTATTTCCAGTCAGACCGTTCATACGACTGCAATGAAAAAAAAAAGAAAAAAAAAAAATGATCCACATGTTTCATCCCGTGTACGCTCATCCAATTATCTTGCTCTTCCTGGCATTATCTAAATACGTACGTACGTGAAAACGCGAATGTATTACCGTGGAGTGAATTCGAAATGCACAATGCGAAGTTACGCCACGATTTATAACAGTTTTCATACGCGAACACGATAATCGCGTTTTGTTATAAAATCCGAATTACATAGGCGTATACGTGTACTACCACAGGAATCAGTACGTTTACCTCGGGCAGCGTACAGTAACTTTGGTACACTACTACTACTACTACTACTACTACTACTACTACTACTACTACTATACGTACTACATGGAGGCCAGCGTGATATAGCTTACTAAGAACGTGATAAGCATGAATGTATCACTTGTGCGAATTTATTTATGCGGTTCAGCCGGAGGATGTTGCATGAAAGTATGTTTTGATAATAATTAGATGAGTCCGACTGTATTATTTCTTGTCTCGTGTCAGAGAATTCCGATGGTGGTTCTATATGTATATAAATTAATGGTAAACGAGAGATCTATTAATTAATGATACAGAAATTCCGCCGATACGAAATGATGGCCGGACTCACGATTTGTGCGTAAATTCATTTGTTATTGCGAATACGTGAGTAGTACACCTATCTCGCGGTGAAAGATTAAAATCCTGGTCACGTCTAAAGCAACATATCAAATACGAATACGAATAAGAATATGTATATACGTGTGGCCTATATGAAATCGCTTTTTCCCACGTTTCCTGTTCCGAATAATAAAACATCTCGTAGGAGGTGCTTCAATCATTTTGATCTGCGTGCAACGTTTCCATAGGGGAAGATCTATCAGAAATTCGATCTCGATGAACGCGGCGGCGTTATAATTAGACTCCATATTTTATTGTATACAGATAAAGATGGTACCAGCAGAAAATCTGCGCGAACGCTCGCGAACGACATATGTATTATTAGGAGATGAGCGAGAAGCACAAGTTAAGTCCATTGTTCGTAAAGATCTGCAGTCTGATTACACGAGAGAGTTTATCTCTTTTTCTACTTGACGTTCTCTACTCTACTGTGTGGATTCTATCGGCTGTCGAATCCGAAACGATCCCGGGCTCTTCCTTTGTCCAAGGCTATCTTAAGTACTCTAGTTTATACTAAATGAAACCAAAGGGAATCCAAAGGGGAGTAAATGGAAGTAAAGGGGACTCGATTAGCATGATCTCTAACTAAGGCTCGATCAGGCTAGAATTCCAGATCACAGTAATTCCGTCTGCAAGACTGTTTAGGTCGTGTATTGTCTATTATTTGGTGTCTAGCTATCGATTTATCGATCCGTGGATCCTCAAAGCGATTTGTACAGGGGAAACGAACGGACTAGTTCAGAAACGAAGACGGGCCGAGCTCAGGGTGCTAGAGAATCGGTAATAGAATGCCACCGCTCGCCACTACTGTTGGCCACCGACAAACCATCTCCTTCACTGTCAATACTAACATATACTTAAGTACTCGACTCCTTTGACAGGCTATGAATTTTCTTAATCTGACCAACTTCACTTTCGGTTCCAAATATGAACAGGTTTCTAATTAAATTCTGGAGGTGGCATTTATGAGAAAATTTTATGTGCAAGAAAAAAATCGTGCAGAAAATCGAACATGTTGGAAACAGTGTTATTTTGCAAGACGCGAAGTCGTTCTGTCGTAGATGATCGCGTAGAAATACGTGGAAGCTCACAAAGATCCCGTTGATTATGTTTGCGTAATTAGCATAGTTTACGCGTATTTTGTGTAATCATAAATAATTTCGCTTTGTTACAGTTGCCTGAGTCCGAGGTCCGCCTTGTTCTACGAGTTTCCTCCTAACGGTGAGTTTCATGAAGTAGTTTCTTGGTTCATTTGTCTCCCCGGTTAACATTTAAAAGAGAGTTTAAGAGAGAAGTTGCAATTAAAGAGAAAAGTCTAGTTAAACAATGCTCACGAAATTCGAAAGCCCGAGCAATTCCATAACGTTTACGTGGCCGCGTTCATTCGGCCGCGGTTCGAATAAAGAAGACAACTGTTTGGTCGACAAACACAAACAATGCGAAAATGATGATCGATCGTCGTTCGTTACTAATTTAAGAAATGTATGCATGGCCGGGAACTTAATGCGAGAAAAATTTGTTCACGCCTTGCATTGTACTGCATATGCATGTGGTGCACCCGTATGTGCTATCAAATCCCCATTTTCATTTCAACCCCTATCCTCGCGTGAAAGAGGGAAGAAGCACTTGTGAAATAAGTACAGTGTTGTCCAAAAGTTGACGCGTCAGTCGTTGAACAAGTGCGTATACCGAATCGCACCTATTCTTTCTATTACTACTACTACTGCTATTACTACTATTACTACTACTCCTCGAACACGGATTTCGAAAATTAATTCTGCCCGCACGCACCCGCGGTGTCTACACTGTCTACGGACTTTTGAAGAGCAGTGTACGCGGAAGTAATATACGTTCGCACCGAGTTGGAAACCGTCTAGGCTCTCGCTCTCTTTAATACAAACTGCATTTGTACTCATCTCGGTTTTCGTTCTACAGCTTCCACCCCCTTCCGCGTGTTTCTTCCCGTTTGATAGGCCACTTTGTACCTTTGAACAATTCTCGCTGACACACATATACGCGCAACACTCGTGGCTGGTAGCAGCGTTCACACTTATCCGTCTACACTGTCTACTCGTCGTCGCGGTGGTGGTGGCGGCGGTGGTGGTGGTGGCGGCGACGGAAGCTTTTCAATGCGAAATAACGTAATTACAAACTTTTCATTCTCTCCCGCGGTTAAACGATCTCTGAACGTATACGACAGCAGATCTTCACGTGGGGATAAAACGTATAATAACATGCGTTCCGCGTTCCTCTTAATTGCAATTTAGTCGAAGCAAAATGAACCGAAAGAAAACGAAGGAAGAAGTCGAAACACTTGGCCTAATTTGCAGAAGAAACGTGACGGGGTTTCGTGAAATCTAACAAATATTATTTGCGCCGGTTGGACCGTGACTCACTATATGTATACACTCTCCATTCCCAATTGGACCAGTTACAGTTTACTCGTTCAAACCTCAATCTATCCGCGCTCGTTTTATTCTCCCCTCACCCATCGCGCAGCCGAGGGTTACTTTATTTTTATCATTTTTCTCCTGGCTCTGATTGTCTCAGAACAAGGGCAAACGACGAGTAAGAAGAAGACCACGTTCTCGAGGCTGCTCAGAGGACTGAAGACGCACAGGAAAGAGAAGCAGCAGATGCAGCAGCAGGTTCAGGGATCGCCTAGGCACGGGAGAGCGTCCAGAATGGGAGTGCCTCAAAGAGTAAGTGTGTATCTCATTAGAACTGTGCTTCGATTTCACGTCATAATCGTTCATCGAGCACGTGATTAAATAATTTAGATAAGATTACTGGTGTCGAGACTGATAAATGTAAAACTTGGTGAAAACTCGAGCGATCTATACATAGTATACTATATCCGTCTGTTATTTCCGGTTCGGTGATGAGGAAATTGGATACGCAGTCAGCAAAACTGAGTAAAACACAATGATAGGCCCTGGGAATATTAAACAGATTTCCCATGCGAGTATCGATGGAAAACGGTTATTCAGTAAATTTTTCTACAACTGGAAACTCGTGCATTCTTACGTGCACTCTTACAGACACTCTCCCGAGTGGTAGCCGAGACTGGTTGTTTCTCGAGTCGGATCGATCGAAAATTTGGACATTTCGTTATTGTGTTAGAACGACCGCATATCAGCCTTATACGCAGTTTAACCACACTGTCAGTTAGGGTTTCATTCACTGTCAGGAGGTGTCCTGGCCTCGGTGCGAGCTCTCACAATCAGAGAATACGAGTATGGCGGTAGATAACTATGATTTCCGAGTGCACTGTTAACGGCACTGTCACCGCTAAACTTGTCAACCGTGTCCTGGTTGTCAACGGCACTCGCGTCCATTGTTGGTAATAATCCGAAGTAAATTAAATCCGAGACGATGGCCGTTTAACAGGCCGTGCCTCTCGCGGTCTCTATTTTATCACGCATTTTTATCGGCATTTGCTACACTTTCGACCTGAACCTACAGATTTTCTTCCTTTTCCGGAGGAGGAACGACAGAGTGAGTGACATGTAGGGAAAATCGTGACCGGAATTTCTTTATACTATATACGTCTGTGGAAATATCGAATGACGCATGTATTTTGCAATTTTGGACGGGTAGACGTCGTGCCTCGAATAAGATCGAGGGCGTCGAGAAAGTTGAATTTCGCAAAGCGAGATGAATTAGGGAACGAGAAGAACGAGAGTGAAATATTGGAACGGCGGAATAGTTACCGAAGGAATGAACACTTGCCGGTGTTCAATTAAACGATGGCTAAGGATGGAGGCCGAGCATTGAAGCCAAAGGGTTGAACGCTGTTGCTTGAAGCTGAGAGATTGAAGAACCGAACGGTAAAGGAAAATAGAAGCGAACGCTAAGAAAGGAGGAGTAGAGGTAAGATAAGGGTTGAAAGGAAAAGAATAGGACTGGGAAAAGATTGAAAGAAAGCTAAGAAGCAGCAGAAGGAGGAGGATGAGGCCGGCGGGGGCGGTGGTGATGGAAGGCTGAAAAAGATTTTAAGTCTAAAGCGTGAGCCATTGATATCTTGCTTAATTACGCACGAGTCACAAGTATATACGATCTATAGGTGTATGTACGTGCAGAGCACCCGGTGGGTATATAACACGTACATAGTGTCTTGTCTCCCGTGACTGAGGAGTAAGAAACCGGCAGCTTCGTGGAAACTCGAATCTTCCAAAAGTACAGAGACCAGATCGAGAAACGAAGAAAATCGAACGAACGGTACCATTCAATTTTTTACATTTCCTTTGCCCCCCTCGTTATTATTCTCCTCATCTGCCCGTTCGTTCGTCCACGCGGAACACGTGACCAATTACTGCCCGCTCTCATTTATTTTATTTACACGCGCCTGTACAACGCATAATAAACGGTCGTATCAAAGTACATATTACGCAGTGTCTACATAATGTATTAGAGGCGTAATTTGTCGACGAAAAGAGCGACGCGTTGGAACGAAAACCATCTTGTCTGGAAGTCTAGACGGGCCGCAATCGATCAGAGCCCCACTTGTACGCGCTAATTTCTCACCCCTGTCTCTCTCCTTTGTTCTGTCCTATTCTATTCTGTTCCAACAACCCCTGCGCGCACTACACGAGGTCTCATTCAAATTGGACATCTAAACTACAACAATATTAATACACCGCGATAGTTGCAGCGTCACGTGAATAGAGCCGAACTGTGCCCCGGCGATCAGTAAACTGTATTAAACGCGACATTCGTATTTACGTATCAATTAGACGAACGCGTTAACAGGTATTCACTCTGCGACACTAGCTACGCCTGCACAGATTTTCGCGTCGCTCTAATTTTATTCACGTAGAGAAAGTTGAAAATTAATATATATATATATGCGTACGTGCTCCTGTTTACAGGTGGACACTCCAGACAGCGTTCTGCAAAGTGGTTTGGGTCTGGGCCCAGACATGGGGCACACCATATTGAGATCCATGGTGGATCCAAGGGACTATGATCGACTCAGATATTTGCAAATGAACGGCGGTCAAGCCAACAGTTTCGAAGAAACTATACACAGGGTACAGATCAATTGATGTAAAACAGTAAATCGTACGAAGAATACGATTTCGATTAAATTTATTGCTCCGGTTATTCGTTTCTCATGTTGTCTCTTCTATATGTGCGTAGTTGAAAGTTCAAGAGGCGTTGAGGAAGAAAGAGAGATTCCACAAAGAACACGAGGAGGTGAGTGCAATACAAATTCGTCCAATTGTCAAGTTTTTTTTCCCACCATTCGCTAATGAAACTGCGTACGTTTGCGCATAACGAGATAGAAGGTCAAGAGAGTGTGTGTTGAAAAAAACCTGAATCGAAACGCAGAATCGGGGAGTATTCTACATTAAGAATCGATTGATTTTGTCTGAATAAATTCGGAATGTGAGAGCGCGGAAAATGCTGTGGATGGGAAATAGGGAGGGAGTTTCCTTTGAGGCTTACTGCGACATACAATATGGAAATAAAGGTAGGAAGGAAGAAAGGAAGGAGTTAGAAAAGAAGAAGGTGTCCTTGTAAAAGTTTTAGCGTCACTTCTGGGTGGTTTGAGGGTTTACTGCTCCCTAGGGCGGACCCTTTTCTTTCTTTTTCCTCCCCGCCCTCACCTGTCACTGTTTCTCTCCTATCTATTCTCCTCTATTCTCTCTCTCAACTCCTATCCTTCGGTTTTTTTTGCAAGCTCGCAACGACCCTGATTCCTTATTTTTCCCTCCACCGATCAGAAGAGAGTTCCGTGGAGTTAAACATCTTTTAAATACGCTCCTCGTTAATCGATGAAAACGGGCCGCCGGCAAGGGTGAATTATTTTTGTTTCAGATACTGAGAGACATTCGACAAGGTCTGATACAACTCGGCAGAGAAGGAGGTGCTCATCTTCCCGGAGGTGAACATGATAATCGCTTTTTATCATTACCTCGAATTATTAGCAATTCTTATCGACTGAAGTCGATGCATTGTGTATCAGCTCGGTGTTTGTTATCTTTAGACGACACTTATATGTACGACGAGGACGCGAGGTGCGGGGGCGGGTTGAGCCTGGGTCCAGGCGGGCAGCATTGGTACGACGAACCGCCGTACGAGTCTGACCCCGAGGACTTTCTCATGGGAGCCAGCGGAGGTCCCGTGCCAACAGCAACCATACAGAACGGAAGGTAATAAATGATCTAATCTTATAATTTTTCGATTTCTGATCTTCAATTAAAGACTACCGCCTGTTCATCTTCGATATTGTTCCGATCGCGTTTCAGGGTGTGCTTCACGTTGAACTTGAGACCGGAGAATCGAGGAGAGGGGGTGATCTCTCTGAGAACAGCCGGCGATATAAGCTTGCCCAGGGACCGTTCTAGAAAGGGTCCCACGATGCGGGGACTGATCGTGCCTCAGGGGCACAACAACCCACCTGCCATCATCCCCTTGACTCATTCGAGAGCGTCGAGGGAAAGCGGGGATTATGCTAGCAGCGATGTCCACGTGAGTCAATATAATTTCTTCGCAGAAACAAAACAAAGAAAAGAAAAACAACTGTGATGTTTGTTGTGCGTAAATTCTTCTTAATGTGCAAAATGAAATGTAACAAAAGAATACGAAATCGTCGATGCTCGTCGTTAAAGAAGTAAGTCTAAACGATAAACATCTATTATGATAAAAGTCTAAAAATGAAACGAAGACGGAGCTACGTGAAATATTTTTGAATATCGACATTTTTTAAAGACTACCGACACGAACAATTAAAATACGTATCACATCGTCCCCGAAGGGCGTTGCATGTACAAACAATTTTTTCGGACTGACTCTCGTATATCTGCACGTATTTATCGTAGTACAACATCAATTGTCAGACACAAGGAGGGTACATGATTACTCCGCACACATACATACATATACGCTGTCTTAACGTTTTCATTTTTAATTAGAATACCACCTATCTATCTCTCTCTCTCTCTCTCTCTCTCTCTCTCTCTCTATCTATCTATCTACATAAAAAGACCTCTGGCTTTTTCTGAATTTTTAACATTGTTTAGAGCTTACCATAGATATCATTATCCTCGCTTACTATTCCTCTAGGTAAATAAGCGCACATAATTAGCGAACCGAGTACTCTGAATACAGTGTATGTAGCGGAGAGCACATATTTAAATAGAGGGAAGAAAAAAAAACACAAACGCGTTTTGTAGAGCCGGAGCAGTGGTGAGGAGGGGCTGTCTCCGAGTCAGAGCAGCGACTACGACGACCAGGAAGAGACTGGGATCGGGCCTGTCGGGATAGGAAATCGGCAATCAACTTCCTCTATACACGCAGTATGTCGTCATTAAACAAAACTCGTTAAACAATGAAGAGCAAACGAAATGAGATCTGCACCTCTGCATCATTCGTCCTTGTATCACCACCACCACCACTAGTAGTAGTAGTAGTAGTAGTAGTAGTAGTAGTAGTAGTAGTAGTAGTAGTAGTAGTAGTAGTAGTAGATAGCCTCGTAAATGGCTGATTCGTGTAAATAATTCTAAACCAGAAGCACGCGTTTACCAGAGAATTATACGTAATACTGCACTAATAATTAAAACCTGTTCCCCTGTTAATCGACGTTTAATTATAGTTTAAATGGAAACCGGTTCTAAATCGGTTTTGGGCTGTGCATTGTTCTTCGGTGTTTGGCTATTATATATCGCTGCATGCTAGCTACGATTATTTAATGACAATTGGGGAAAGACGAATTAGTTGGATCGTGGTTGAATCGTAGATATGCTTCGTCGAGTACATTATCACGAGATATGCACAGTGTATACACTATACATACAAGCAATACATACTGCATATACACTTTGTAACTATCATATAATTCACGTTGTGTACATATGTATATATTCTTTACGATGTAAAACGATACGTTCGGACAACTGAACTTGTTGTACATATTGTACGAATGAAAAGTGTAATAAGATTTTGCAAATATTATTCTTCTCGTCCGAGTTTAATCGCAGTACCAGACAGAACGGTGTGATTCATTCGAGGCGAATGCGATTTTCAGTCAGAAGCGTCGGCTCTTCTCGACACCGAAACCACCCCTCGGCCAGGTATCGCAGGAAGGGCCCGGCACCTTCGCCACGACGTTCAAAGAAAAATATCTAGACTGCGACAGGACAGGACTTCTTCGGAAGTGTTCCCGTGCAGCGCGAGCAGCGTCGAAAGTCTTCCCAGCGGGAGTGGATCCAGCACGCAGGTATCAGACAGATACATATACATACAGATATTTAGCAGAGAAGATGCTAGTAATTTGAACGCGTCCTGCGATGTTTAAATGACCGAAGGACGTGTAAAATGAATCACGTTTGACTTTGCATAATATTTGAATCGTTTGAACCCAGGCGTTGGTGCGAGCAGGAAGTAACCACAGCTCGATATCTTGCGAAGAGAGGGATAACATTAGCCCCACGGGAGGTACTTTTGGGCCTGTTCTGTGCAGAGCCAGAGCACTCGTGGATTACACCCCCAGTCCTTACGATAAGGAGGCTTTGAAGTTCAAGGTTCGTGATACAATAAGTATTAAGCGAGAGCTTAGAAAGTGAGAATGTCGAAATATACGAAACGGAAATGCTCGTCTCCCGTTACAGAAAGGAGACATAATCGACGTTATCCAAATGAACAAGAGCGGACTGTGGAAGGGGGTCGTGCACAACAGGATGGGTCACTTTAAATTCATAAACGTGGAGATCCTAAACGATCGAGTGCCTAGAAGAGGTGGTGGTGGTGGTGGTGGTGGCGGCGGCGGCGGCGGCGGCACTGAGATTTCCGAAGGTGGTGCGGGAGAGGTTGCCGGCGAAAGGAGCAGAGGAGGCAAGTGGGGACAGAGATACAGGCAGAAGCCAGGGTCGGTCCAGGAACTCTTGCAGAGGATGAATCTACAGGTGATTACGAGCGACAGCGTTAATACGTAAGATCGATGCATTCGAAATATGTTGAATAACGTGACTTGCTGCAGGAACACATCCCGGTGTTCGTGTTCAACGGATACGAGGATCTAGAACTGTTTAGAGAGATCGAGGCCGCGGACCTTGATTACCTGCGAATACATCAACCGGAGCACAGAGCCAAAATACTTACTGCTGTGCAACTGTTAAACGACCTCCAATGTGAGTATAGCACAATCGATAAAACTTTCGCGAGTCACAATGGATATTTTTAAACAGCCGGAAGCGAAGGAGATTTGGCGTCCAGTTCCGAGGGCGACGACATGAGCCGGTTGGCCCCAGCTTCTGGCCAAACCTCGGGTCATTGTTCGCCGTTCAACCGCAAACAATTCCCGAGGGACTCGGGCTGCTATGACGCTCACAAGAATACGCCGAATATTCGGCCGGCGAGTCCGGAAATCCCGAAGACGAAAATCACGAGTAGAGAAAACAACTTAGACTCTGGCAGTCTAGTAAAAAATTCAAATATCGAGGGGAGCGAGTCTGGCGAGGCTAAGGAAGATTTTCACCCGAACATCCCTATAAATTCGAACCTGAATCAGAAGGAGGCTCAGTTCGATAAGTCCCCGCTGTTGAGGGGAAGTAACGTTAGGTTCATCGCTAAGAGAGGAAATTTCGGCGACACGGTGGTCATCGAGGATGGCTGCGAGCAAAAACTGATCAAATACGTTGGTAATAACGATCTGGAGGGAGCTACTAACATCTCGACGGTCAGGGGTTGTTTGAGCGAGAAATCTAGCGACTCCGGGGTGAGCTCGTCTAGTATCAGTTCTGTGCCCAATCCCAGGGACAAGTTTGTTAATTTAGCGTCTTCTGATTCGCCGACCAAAAATTTTGGCAATATAACGAGAGCGTCGCCGACTTCTCAGACCGGCAAGGACGCTAGCTATCAATGAGGACGGGGAACGTGCAGAGGGTAAAGCGGTTTGAAGGTTGCCTTTAGCGATGTGTTAATTATTTTAAATATGTACATAGCCTGCGGATCGTTATGTACTACGACGAACCTCACACGTGTATACGTACGTTTTAATACATACATGCCGTGTCCCATTTTAATCTCCGCCCTCCGGTTAAGCCATATACAGGTGATCTCTCGTCTAAAACTTTTTTACACCTTTCGTATTTCTCGGGATTAAATTGGGAGGCTACGCGCGCGCGCGCGCGCGCGCGTCATTAATTTATTTATTTGTCTCTTCCTGCTCGTTGCGCATTTGATACATTTTTATGACAACGATCGACGATTGTTCGGGCATAATCATCCGCAGTCTAGTCATATAAATGTCATTGTAAATAATCATTAATATCCTAGAGATACGAAAGTTTACGCTTTGAAAATTGGTAGAACGCAATATTAGATTTACTTATGTACCGTAAGTAGCATCGCGCCGCGTACGCGCCACGTGTATACTTGTTACAATCAAAAATTAATATATGATAGAAACGATTTTCCAACACGTAAGCGTATCGATGAGTTTTTGTATAAACGACGACAAGTTCAGTGAATAACAAGTACGATTCTGTTTAAGTGAATTTAAGACCCCCTCCCCCCTGAAACCCCACGCGAAACGACAGTCGAGTAAATCTGGCGAGTCATCCTAGTTTACGGCTGATTTTCGATTGTAACAAGTTCCCAATCGTTCTCTTCGATCGAAATACCACGAGTAGAAGACGCATTTTCTAAATAGGGTAAGGGCTTTCATACAGAGTTTTTGACTGAACTGAACTACGACTGATTTTTCATTTCCCTCGAAACCGCCATTTTCCTACACGTTTTTTTAGTTTCACTTGATTCCTGAACGAAAGACGAACAGAGAAACACCCGACTCCCGTATCACTGCCAACCGGTTCACGATCTTGTTTCCAATCGTTCACATACTTAGAGTAATACTTAATAATAATTGTGATAAAAAAGAAATGCATTTATTATACTTCTCAGTTCGCGTTACCCGCGGCAAGAGGAGGGTTTACAGTAGAAACTACGTATTTGCAATTTGTACGCAATAAATAAATCGCGAGGACGGCGAGAAGAATGTTGAGAGTAACTATAGTTAATCGGTGAACATCGCAGACGTTAAACGAGAATATTGATCTTGCCAGTGTTGAAACGAAGGAAAAAAGAAGACTTATTCACAAGACTGGTATTTTCATCGTTTTCATTTTAATACAAATATTACCGATTGTTTTCAACGAGCAAATATCGTTCTAAACGAGTACTTCAATAGTGAAATACCTTGGACATAGATATAACGTTTAACTATACGAACTACGCAGCAATAAAACTTTTGTAACTGTCATAATCATTTGAGTAGGGAACGAGAATTGTTAAAAGAAAGAGAAAAAAAGATAATCGACAATCCACCTTCAATCGAATGCAACTAATTAAGTATAATAAACGATACAACAGTTCTTCGACTAGCAAATTGTAAATAAATTGATTATTAAATAAAGATGAATAAACAGAAGTTATGAACGATATAGGGAAAGAGAAATTAAACAATAATATAATAACGAGAATGGAGCGTTTAATAAATTCAAAATAGTTTCAAATTATTACGAAGAGTTTTTCATGTAGAAGAATGAATCATATACACGATTATAAAGAGGACAGAAATAAATAAATAAATAAATAAATAAATAAATAAATAAATAAATGAGTAGATAAAAGAAACGAATGTTTTTTATATCGAGCCAACCATTTTTGCCAAAACCTTAGAACCGTATAAGTATATAAATAGATAACAAATTAACAAATGAATAAATGATTATTATACATGCGTTGCTAGGTATATACAATACATACATACATATATAAAGTCGTTAAATATTATGTAAAAATCTTTTGTATAATTGTAAAATTAGTGGACACACTTATTTATTTATTTTAATAAACGTTATTCGAATTACAAATGAGATAGGTAATAGCAGAATGAATTAAAGTCGAAATGCGAGGCAGTTGATTGTAAAATTATCGGGGACGAGAAATTCTAATACATATAATAGTAGCATCAAAAAAATGAAATCAATAATAATTGACATATGTATATGTGTAGGAGAAAATAAAATATATATAGTATAGATAGAGAGAGTGAGTATAATAAGAATGATGGGAGAAGATCGAAAATTAATTGTAAAATCACCATCCGAATAATGTATGAACGTGTATACGTACATACATACGTGTACGCATCTTTTCAAAACAAAGATTCCCAAATTGTGAGGGAGACTGATTGCTAGGAATACTACTGCTTAATATGATGATTTGTTAATTAGAATTATTTAATAGAACCG